ATGAATGAATCGGTAAATGCGCACATCGCCAGATGTAAATTGACGACTTCCGCTTGAATAATTTTTTTTTCTTCAATTCGTGAGCCATATAATAAACAACTTAATAACCTCGACCGTTCGGTCGTTATGGGAAAATCTCAAACCTCGGCCTACTGTATTGACCGAGCGACAGCGAGGTCAATACGGCAAGACCTCAGTTTGAGATTTTCCCGTAATGACCTCACTCTCGGTTATTAAGTAGTTATTAATTAACCATGTATATAACTAACAAGTGAACTTCCAGCTTGAACTTTTTGGGTTCCATAATTTTGGAGACTTTGGACTGTTTCAGGTCTGGTTTTAACTTGAAAGGATTGTTTTTGGGCGTAACAAATGTCTTATTTTCACCTCCCTGGGAGAAAATGCGTGTACAGGCATGTACATTGTAACTTAAGGGCCCATAAACCGATCTTTTCGAGCTGTTGCTAAGGAAAATTTATTCTCATATAACCTCATCAGGTTTAGTTAGTTCAGAGTTATTTCATGTGTTTTAACTTTTTCATGATTAGTAACACTAGTGATGACGTCATCAGGCCACGCCCATGGTCATGTNGACTAATACTGAAAAAATGCAAAGGCTCCCAGGCAAATTACTTTATCGGGATTTTTTTCATTGATTTAATATTTTAATTTAAATCCTCATTATGCTATGTATAGATTTTGTTTCATTTCTAAAAGGTCAGATTTTGAGAGAATTTCAAAATATTAAAATATTCGTAATTTTATGAAAAAAGTATGATTTTGCAATAGGAATGCATAGCTATCTTTTCAATGTTGGCTTTGATTGAAATCTGCCGAAAAAGGCTGGATTTAATAAAAAAAACCGTGTTTCCTTTAGCATTTTCTTATTTTGTCTCTGCTTGTACTTTTTTTACTTTGCATTTTGTGAAACAAAAAGAAAAACATCTAAAATGTAAGTGAATTTGGAAGTTATTGAATTGTTTTTATTTTCCACACTCAGGCTGACTAAGTAACTGGAAGTGAAATTTCACCTCCTTAGCAACGCACGTGAGTGCATGCATAAATCGGTTAATGGGCCCTTAATAATATTAATTACAAGTGAGGAGTTCTTCCTGCCATGTTCTGTTGGATCAATGCCACCTTAAATTTTCACTGATTCTATTACATTTGATCACATAGAAAATTTATTTGGGAAAAATTTGTCAAAAATGGTGTAGTTATCTTATGGTGGCTCATACATTGTGTTGATCACATAATTCATGTGGGCTGTATGGATTAAATTAGGGATTAGGGATTAGGATTACCAGTGAACAGTCAACAACTATGATTCTAGCGTATGAGATGCGTGTAATCAACATATGACAAAACACGAGAATTTAAACAAAACACAAAATTGACAAACAAATACCATAAATCCTCGAATCAGCACCCTCTTCGAATAAGCACCCCTGCTATCGGCTAAGATTTAAACTAAGTGCCCCCCTCCCCCAAGTAATGAGACAGCAAAGGACGTATAGTTTTTGTCGTGTAGTATTAGATTTGTATATTGTTTCAGTTTGTGACCACGTGAATTTCTAATGGTGTCGCGAATTAAACTTTAGGATCAGCTTTTTATGTCGATAAACAGCTTATGTTGTTGTTTACATGCAGATTGATGTATTAAAAACATGACCATGTCAAGGTCACGATTTGGGAAAAATTGAATAAGCGCTCCCCACCCCCTCCCCTTTCGATTAAGCATCCCCCTCGAATAAGCGCCCTCATCTTCTCCTAAATTTGAAATAAGCGCCCCGGGTGCTAATTCGAGGATTTACGGTATAGTAATCCCAAACCTAGGAGTCACATTTCTATGAGTCCTAGCTTCATTTTGCCATGTAATAAAACATTTTATGAACTTAGCTGAGAACTTTGGTATGTATGGGGAATCTTGACCTTGGCCGGGTGTAGTCAGACCTCACTGCATTCAGTTTGTACTCACGACCTCAGTCAAGATTCTCCCAGACAGACCTCATGCCTCGTGGTTAATAAGAGTGCCTTATAATTATTATTCCCAATGTGTTCAACTTTTGCATTTGCAGTAGTTGTTATTGTTGCAATATTATTGTTAGTTACAACTACACTACTGTATCTCTTGTTTTTTTAACTGATATAAATTGTCTATTTTCAGACATTTCATGTGGTTGGTCTAAAACTAGATAGGCCACGTTTCCTCAGCAAATCCACAATAGCTTTTATCCTGTTTAATGTCTTCATGTACATTGTCTTCTTGGTGCAATTTATAACAACGGAAGTAACGGATGAACATACAAAGGTCAGGAAAATGCATGTTATATTAGTTAACAGTGATTGTTTCATACTGTATTTTATGGTTAAAATGTTTTATTTTCCTCCTACATATTGATGGTTAAGAATAGCAATGCAGACAGTAGGTGTTCCAATCCAATTGCCCTACAGTATAGTAGTTAATGCATGCGGTCATGTCCTCTTCAGTCTGCTGAAACCTTTACAGTTGCTGTATCGCATGCTAGGAGTAACTCATTGTGAGGAAAATTTTGCTGTTTTTAACATGCAGTGTAATATCCATTCTGTTCTCTTCAAGGTATACTTATCCAACATATTTACTGGCTTTTTTGTCATTCTCATGTTTTTGGTGCTCACTCTGTTTCTCATCTATGGAGTTGAGTTATTTTACAAGGTATGATTAGTCAAGTAATGTTATTGTTATTTTTTACCAGGGTAAATGCATTGTTCTCCCTTGATTTTGACAGAAACAATTATTGAGCAGGACAAGCTTACTGTTGTAGATAGTGAGTGAGTAGTGAGTGTTTGAAGTTGTTAGCAAAATAGCAGCCACTTTTTCACATTTTCGAAGTGTCTGTGAAGAGGAGCTAGATAATTTACTAGTTAAGTCTTGAATGACTAACCAGCAGATTTAAGCTAAAACAATTGGATTATTTGCTCTTGATTTCTGTGTGGTAGAAATCAAGAGTGGAAAATGTTTTGTACTGTAGTCTAAGGCCTATTTACATAAAAGCCATTATGGACTATAAATTATGGAGGTTGTGAAAGTGTGATTATCGATTCCAGGTCCGTGGTGCATTTATCACAACAAGAGAGTCTTCAAATGTCGATGCCACACAGGCTACCATGTCGAGAGTTGGACTGGTCTCACAAGCATCACTTCAGGTAATTTATGGTCGGCACAAAATTAATGCAGACTGCAGACAGCTGGGTACAAAATGCAGGCTGCAGACTGGGTACAAAATGCAGACTGCAGACTGCTGACATTGTGGGTACAAAATGTAGACTAAGAATAAAGACTGTTTTTCGTCAAATACATGATAGCATGTCATTTTATAACTTATCAAGTGTCATGCAATCGCTTTTTTGCGGTCAACTTCGAAGAAAACTTGTATTATTGAAGTTTATCATTGGCCCGTTTCTTCATATAAAATCTTCATATATAAGCTATCTTTGCACTTAAGATTATGTTTAATACATGTACTTGTACATGTTTTATGCCAATGATGCATCTTTTCTTGACGAAGCTTGTTTGGTCAAGATAGATGGATATTGGCGTTGTTCTTCACTTGTTGATTTAATGCATGACCTAGACTGGACCTCCGCCTATGGAAACGAACTCGGCAAATACCTAGCCATCTTGATCTTGTGCTTGGCCCCTGTACATGTATCTAGTGTTTGAGCATTGTAATCATGTTATCACTTTGACTGTGTTATTGCCTACAGCTTCTCACTTCTCTTTTTCTCCTTGGTGATATCATGGGTGAAAAATGGAAAGACAAGTAAGTTTTGTTATATTGTATTATATTATGATTTCATTTTTCTGTCATGTTACAAAAAGAGCTCAGTACTCCCCCACACCATGGAACTTGTGGTGGTTCCCCTGAATAGGACACTCCAGTTCAGTCCATTTCAGGTAACCACGTAAACTTTTATTGCCCTAATAATTAGTAATACTGTAGATCTATTAATACCTTTATTTAAACAGGATTTCTTACTCATTGTAAACAACGTATAGCATCAATAGGAGTCCTAACAATTAAATAAAGAAATATTTATTTAATGATAATGATGATGATGATGATTATGATGATGATGATGATGATTATAATAATAATAATAATAATAATAATAAAATATAAGAGAGAAGTTAAAGACAATGCTAACTCTTCATATTAGTGCTAAAACAATTACACTAACCTAATGGATGGAAGGAAGCACTGTGTCAAAAATAAGGTGTCTCTCCTAATGGCAAAGCACACTGAGTGTTGTTTGCTTCAGGATAAGGTTCTGTACGGTTCAAAATTATGTTGCCTTACCTTGTCAAGTCATGCTGTTGATTAAACAGTGTGTGTTCACAATTTGATTGGTTGTAAGTTTTGCCATTGGCCTAAGGTTACACCTCAAGTTGCTTGATGCACTCACTAACCATTAGATCACTTCATATCACAGCTTATTATTTTGAATTTTTTGTATAGATTGCCCATAGAGGGGAGGAATGTGTTAGACATTGTGTTCAGATTGTTTGAATTGGGTGTGGCTCTATGGTTTTCTTGCTGTCTCTGGAATTGGAAGAGGTGGGTGTACAAATATACTGTAATGTTCAACAACCTCCAGTCAAACCAGAATGAAAATTGTTTTAGACCAGGCTGCTCTGCTGTTCAGAAGAAGCTCAGGGCAAGTTGTTGAATGATGTCAATGGTAATAGTATAGGTGGGTGTTGTGGATGAAAAATGATTGTTTCAGTTTTGGAACAATGTTGCCAATTCTGAGAGAAAAGTACTTTCAATTGTTTAATACCTTTCAGATCAATAATAAAGGGTACAATCTGTGTTGGGCCAAGTGGTCCATAATACCAGAGCTTATTTTGGTTTTGGTAGCATTCACCAAAGAAACTTGGAGTATTCCTACTCCCCTCTTAATGGGATGCTAGCCCATCACAGGGTCACACTCTAGTATTTTAAAATTCACTTGTACCTATTTATACACCTGTGGGGAGAGAGCTACTGTGGGAGGAAGAATACCTCAAACCTAGACCATGCGTTCTGATGTCCAGCAGGGTGATTATTAGGCTGCTGCATCTCCCAAAGAGATAATGTACACTTAAAATTCTCTCTTCTTTAATGTACAACGAAAATGGTTATTTTTTGTTCGTTTTAGTAAAGAGATCCTGCATTCCCAGAAAATAACCATACCCACCTTACTGAAGGTCACTGGAAATTCTCGAGGTGGGGAGGGAGGGGGTCTCAAAAGCCAAAAATTCTAAAGGAAGTATGATGCAGCATCGTAGCTAAAGTAGAATTTATGGAGGGTTCGTGAAAGGAGGGGGGGGGGGGGGGTCAATCAAAATACCTTCTGTGAGAAGTGTATGGAGATTTCCTGGAACAACACATTCTGAAATATGGATTTATCATATTGAAGATCATAATTTATAACAACTTTTAATTTCTGCTTTTCAGTCCAAGTCAGTTGTGGATTTTGAACCCTAAGCGACTCCTAGTACATGAGACAATAGAGGTACTATGTTCTATGTTTTTTAGAACCAGTTTGCTCAATAAAAATTCTCCTTACTGGCAAACCTCCATAGGTTCAGGAGAACATGTTGAAGACTAATTTTCGTTTTAAGAAATAGAAACATTTAATTGATTTGATCGAGTTATAGAAACACAGGAGGAAGTTTGGGAGATTGAGAAATGCTGTGGGAACACAGCCACAGGCGAGTGTTTCCACAGGTTTTTGAGTTCTCCCAAGCTTTCATGAGTGTTTCTTGTATTCGGTAGATTCAAGAAGAAAATATTTTCCTTTCCTTTTACAAGACACTGTGCAAAACAAGAAGGGAAAGTCAGTTGTGTAGTTCAATGTTCAGTGTTTCTCGTTAGTATGCACTTTTTACAAGATGTTTTCTAATTAGTTTTGACCACAATTCCATTATATTGTTTTATGCTCTCAATTATAGTTCTAGAGAGATTCTTCTTCCCTTCAGCTTATCTTTATGTTTGACACAGATCTAAAGTTACTTACTTTACATTTTAACTAGGGTATCTAAAAGATAGTAATGCTGCGGCACATTCTGTTGATAGTGACATATTTAACGCCGTGNGTGAGTGTGCTAGCCTGTTTTTGCGTTCTTCCCCACGCATTTCCTAGCAAAAGAGAGACTGCTCGTAGTCTAGAAGAATTAAGAAGAATTGTTCTGGTACATGACTTCTTTACCCTCAATAGGAATGTTATGTTTTGCCCTCAGTTCGTCAAAATCTTATCACATTTACTAATTGTTACTTTTTTTGTAAGAGAGCCGTATTATATTTAGCTAAAGCGATGGCTTATCATTCTTTCGTTCAAGAAATAGAGAAAACCTGGCACAGAAATGCCCTCAGTTGATGCAAGTATGAATAAAACTAGGGTATCTAAAAGATAGTAATGCTGCGGCACATTCTGTTGATAGTGACATATTTAACGCCGTGATTCATTTACCTGCGCTTTCCAAGACTTACATTTAGGGAGGCAGCGTGGTCGAGTGGTTTAGGGCGCTGGATTTGAAATCTGGAGGTCCC